AAATGGCTCCTATGCAAACACCCCGTGTGCAGTCCCCACCTGCTCCTGCTTGGCTCTTCTTCCTCCCCTTCCTTACTCTCTGAGGAGGGAGGCAGGCAAGGAAAACGGGGGGTCCCGGACCTTTCCAAGGTGAGAATCCATCCCTGCACAGCTCGGGGGTACCCAGGGGGGGTGGGGGATGCTGCCAGAGGGTCACTCTGTGGAGCAGGTCCCCCTCACCCCCTCCCTGGGTCCGGGCCCTGCAGGGCTGCTCAGCACAAAGGACAGGATCTTTCAGCGTCCTTTTCTCCACCTCCGCCCCGGCCCCAGGGCTGGCCCCGAGTCGGCATTATTGCTCCCTCCTTCCCCAGCTCCGGGGAATGTGTGAGCTGGATGAGCTGAGTAAAAATGACCTAATGTGGAGAGGAATCAGAAAATGAGCAATAACAATGCTTCCCGAGTGAGTGAGCAGCACCCAGGGGACTCCTGGATTTCCTGTCCTGGCACCAGCCCAGCCGAGCTGGTTTTATGTCCTTGACAGGCAGCCTCTGAGTCTGACTGGGTTTATTTTTACTTCAGGAGCATTTTATTTCCTCTGCCTTTGCTCCCTTGGATTGTTCAGGAGTGACATTGCTGATGGCAGTGCAGAGGTTGGTGGCACCTGTCCTCACAGCCTCAATCCAAGGATGCATCAGGAGGGAATCACTGTCTGGAGCTCCCCTGGGCAGGATGACAACCCTTGGCACTGCCAAGCTGGGTACCCCCCTCACCTGCCCCATCCAGCTCTTCTGAGAGTCACCAGGGTCACCATCTGGAAGGACAAGAGCCCTCAAACACAACTCTGCACCCTCAGGTCCTTATCAAACCCAGGGGAAGCCAAAGTCCCCAGACAAACCCAAACCAACCCTGATCTCCATCCCCCCCGGGCAGACGACTGGGTGCTCCTGTGGCTGCTCTCCAGGCAGCTCCTGGGCACCTCAGCCACCCAAATTAGAGCTCAGAGTGCTCCTGATAAGCCTTGGTAGCTCTGAGAGGGGTGAAGGAACTCGCAGGTCAGCTGTTTCCCCGAGCAGGGGAATTCTTGTGTCGGCAGTTTCAGTATCTGACTGCCAAGCTCTGTTTAGTCTGTGGCTATAAAGTAGCCTTGTTTCTATTCTGAGAATATTTGTCTAATCAGGGGTCCAAGGAATTATTTTGCTAAGTAGAAAGTTATGTTTATTTGGGTAAGTTTATACTCCAGGATGGGTGCCTTGGAAAAGCCCAGGAAAGACTGTGCACTGCTGAGGTGTCTCAGGGCACAGTGCATACCTGTCAGAAAGGTAAAATTTCATTTCTGTAGAAATAAAAAGGCAAACTTTTTATTTGCCAGCTCTGGAATGAAGCCCCTTGCAACCCCAGTGCTGCAAACACTCACCTGCCAAGCCAGGCCTCACAGCACAACCCCAGCATGGGATGCCCACACTCCTCATTACCTTCTCCCAATAAATCTTCATCCAAGAGGTTCTCAACAGCCTGAGCTGGATTTTCATGTACCTGCTATTTTCAGAAGTTCATTTGCTTTGTAAATCACAGGTGACCCCTGCACACACCTCTGGCTGCTGCATGAGGAAGGTGATGAAATACTGAGCTGAGGGACACTTGAAGGGTCAAACCCATCACCTGGGACAGGTAAGACTTTTACCAGCCTCCCCAAGTGCTTTTGGTTCATCCCAACCTCCTCATCCCTGAGGGTGTGAGGGAACTGGGATGTTAAAACCTTAAGATGTTTTTCCCAGGAGTCTTAACCTTTTTCACATGCAGGATCAGGTCATTTTTTGAACCTATCAAGGCTTTCAGCCCTTTCTGGTGATTATTCCCATTTTCCCACATAAATCCTTTCCCTGGGGTGCTTTGCCTTGAGCTGGGTGAGCTTTGTCCCAGGAATGACCCGAGAGCACCCGCTCCAGGGTGGACTTTGCTCTGTTTGCACATAACAAACACAGCGAGTTGTGACTACTTGCAACTCAGCAACCACTCATTTTTAGCCCTGAGATAAATCCTGGTTATCTGCTGAGATAAGGTGCTCCCTATTTTGGAAGGCACTGGTTTCCACACTGGGAAATTGCCTTTGCCCACAGTGTGAAAGGGCAGCAATGGCCAGAGGCAGCTGCCTGCACACACCTGAGCCTTGGGATGAGCCCAGGAGGGGCTGTCACCCTGTCACTGTCCCCTTTGTGCCACCCACCACCTTCATGGCTTAGGTGGCTTTGGCTACAGGTAATGGCCACTTCTCCACCCCCAGGGCCATCCCCAGCCAGGTGACCCCCCCCCGGATTTTAGCATTGCTGCCCTGGGAACACCCCTCCAGCTATCAGCAGCTCTGCTTGGGTTGAGGTTGTGCCTCGAATTAGGAATCAGGAATACCTAATTCCCATTTCTACTGCTCAGGCTTGTGGCACTGGCATTGACAAGTCAATATTTTCTTCTCTTTTCATGATTGGATTTTGTCCTGGACATCTTGTTTTGTGCTAAATAAGGACATTTCTGTCCCCCTTCTCTTTGTGTTGTAAGCTCAGTGTCCCTGTAGCAGCTCCCTGTCCCCTAATCTCCTGCACAAGTTGCTGCTCAGGCAGTGGGGCTGTATCTCCATCCCAACCAGTGTCCCTCAGAACAAACCCTCTCCATGAACTGACCTTCCCCACCCAGTCCCCAAGATGCTCCAAGTTCCCCATATCCTTCACCCTGAGGCACAAAGTCTTGGGGAAGCTGGCACAGCTCCTCTGCTGCAGCACAGAGGGGACTAAGCTGTGCTTCAGTGTCACCACAAGGTCCATGATGAGACCTCAGTGCTGCAGAGGGCACTGGCCATCCCAGGAAAACACGGGACAAGCACGTGGCATTTGCAGTTCTCAGCCCAGCCCTGCCTGTCCCTGCAATCGAGTGCTCCCCACACGTGGGGATGGGATGGTGTTTGCCCTGTGACCCAGTACCCTGCAGGTCAGCAATAAATTCTCTTACAGCAATAACCCCCCTCCTGCCACTCACCCAGGGCTATTTCCATCTGCTCCAGGGACTCACCCCACGTGCCCAGGGCTCCTCCTCTCACACACACCGGTGCCTCTGTCCCCTGCAGGGATCAAAGTCGAGCACCAGATTCCTGTCCCACACGTCCCAAGGCAGCTCCAGCCCTCCCTGCCTGCCTGGGCTGGGAGAATTCCCACGGGCAAGGCAGGTTGTAGGCTCAAAACACAGCGTGCTTTGGGGGCTGGGATGCTCCTGGGAATCAGCAGCACCACAGGACCTGGCACTGAGGGCAGAGAGAAGGCAATGGCAGGTACTGAGCTGCCCAGTACCCCCAGAGCCCCCCGAGCCCAGTGCCCCTGTGGCTGCCCCTGGGAGCCTGGGGACAAGGAGTGGGGGACCAACAAAGGAACTCTGCAAGTTTCCTAACACTGATGGCTTGGGGTGGAGTGAAGGGAGATCAGGGGAACATGGGGGACTGAGAAAGCAGGGACGTGCAAGAAAATCTGTGATGACTCCAGATATGGAGGGAAACCCTCCGAGCTGAGACAGAGAGGAGATGAAGGCTCTCAGCAATGCCAGGAGAAAGAGGAGGGTCTGGTTTGGAGGAGGAAGCTGGGACCCAGCAGCTCCAGGGTCAGTGACTGGGTCACACTGACCTCAAGCCTGGGGTGCCAAAAACAACTCCAGGAGAGCCACACAGGCATCCCACCAACCCTGATACCTGAGGGGAATCCTCAAGACCTGAGGGGAACCCTCAGCTCTGCCTCAGATTCCCCACCTGGCCACCACCTGCTGGCTGTTTAAAGAGGGGAAACACAGACAGTTCCCCAGAAGAGATGGCATCTGCTGGGCAGAGCTGATACCCAGGTGGCATTGCTGGGGCAGCCTGGGCATCTCCAGCAGCACCTCTGGGCAGCCATCCCATGGCTCAGCACAGCCCTGTGGCACCAGAAGCACATTCCTGAGTGATCACAAGCAGGTGAGGGACATTGGTGTTCTACCAAACACACCAGGAACAGCCTTTAAAAAACATTTGCATCCCACACCAGAGCTGCCAGGGTGCTGCCCTTGCTGGGGAGGAGCAGCCCTGCCAAGCCATGCACAGACCTGGAATAGCACTGCTGGGCTTTTTGTTGCTGCTTTTGGTGCATCCCCCGAGGGACCCAGAGCTACAGGAGGTCACTTGTGTGCCTGGGCATTCCCGTGGTCAGAGGTTCCTGCCCTGCCGTGTTTAAACAGTGACCACAGGCCTTGGGAACAGTCTTGCTTTGGGCAAAACTGTGTTCCTGCACCCAGGCCTGGCCTCAGGAGCATCTGGCAGCTGGTCCATCATAAAAAACAGCTCAGAAATTCATGGAACCAGATTTTCCCTTCTTTAGCCATGCCCTAATAGGATTTTACACTCCTGGGTGAAGCGAGGGCTCCACCAGTGCCGACAAACGTGCCACAAAGAAAAGGCAGCTACAAGAAATTATATTCTCCTTTTATTTACCTATGACCATGACAATGTACTTTTTTTTTCTAGCTGCAGAGATGCTTTGCACTGTAAACTGGGAGGCAGGCAGTCCACCCCGCTCTGCCAGGGCCAGCAGGAACCCCCGCTTCCCAAAACACAGTATTGTTATCCAGAGTCAGGAGAGCGTCTGCTTCACAGAGCTGCTTTTCTCCATCGCCAAACCCTCCGTCGTCAGGGCATGAGATATATACACCAGGCTCCCCCAGCGGCCTGCTGCCAGGGAATGGTCTGTCAGGTAAAACCCGCTACTTACAAAATGTACACACCCAAAAAAAAAAGGCATCCACTCCGCCGGAGAACTCGGCCGCGACACACACAAATATTGCACTTGTCATCTGGGAACGGGAAAGGACACGGGGGTTTCCTATTACACAGTAATGTCCAGCTAGAGGAGGTCAATAAATAAACCAGGGGTGGGGTGGGAGGGGGTGGTCTGCACACCCCCCGCGCAGGGGGAGGACCCGGCTCTCCCTGCTCCCGGGGGACGAGCCGAGGAGGCTCCTGCAGCTGCTGCCGCGGGGCAGCCGGGAGGCACCACGGCACGGGGAAGCACAGCAGCATCCTGGGGCTGGGCCAGGCCACGAGGCTTTGATCCGGGGTGGTGTTCATGGTGGTGCTGTTGTCCCCCTCGCTGGAGCCCTGCTCAAAACTCCTCCTGGGCAATCTGGGATCACTCGCCGCCCTCCAGGAACGCTCACAGCCGGGGCACTGCTTCACAGTAGTCTCGTGGGAGCTCCCCTCCTGGCTAAAATCCACGCCGGAGTCACCCCGAAGGCGTCGTACCCGCGATGGAGCAGTACCAGACTGCTTGGTGTGTCGGTCCCCCTGGCCCCAAGCTCGGTGCCTTCAGCTGCCCCACGTCCGTTGCTGCAGGAATTATGGCTTGGGGGCACGAGTGGCAGCAGGAAAACACGCTCCCGCCGGCTCCCAGGAAGGCCTTCACTGCCCAACTCCATGTAAACACACAGCTCCCAGCCTGCCCTGAGACAGTCCTTGGGTCTACAGCGGGGAGCTGGCTTTCTTCTGGTTAATTATGTCCAGGTACAAGTCAGAGCGCAGGAAGCGGGGGTACGAGTCCTTCTCCATGAGCCCGTAAATCCTCTTCTGCGCCAGGTCGAAGCAGCTGCGGGTGATGTTCTGCAGGTTCTCCTTGGTGTGCTCCCGGGTGTAGGAGTCCAGGTTGACCTGCGGGCAGAGAGACCAGGGCTGATGAGCAGCTCCCAGGCAGGGAGCTCCCCGTGCCAGGGAGCCACGCGCCAGCGCGGGAGCCAGCCCTCACCTCCTTGCAGGACTGGATGGCGATGTACTCGGCAAAGATCTTCTTGGCCTTGGAGACCATCTTGGACTGGGATTTGATCTTCTTGAACTCCTCACAGGCCAGCCAGAACTCCAGGTTCTCCTCGCTGAACTCGGTGCGCAGGAAGGCCCTGAAGGCAGCGAGCCCGTCTGTGGGGACAGGGACATGTCTCTACTCACGGCTCCCAGGCAGGGAATGGCCCCACGAGACCCTCAGCCCAACAACCCTGCAAAGCTGCAGCCTAAACCACCTTCCCACACTGTGTCCTAAAAACCCCCTTGTGCAAACAGGCAGTGATGGCATTGCCAGGCCAGCACAGCAGCACAACCCACCCGTGTGCTGAATCCACACCTCCAGCATGCACAGAGCCAAGAGGGAGGCTGGGCTGGAGTGGGGACAGCAACGGGGACAGGACCCCCTGGCCATCCCTATGGGCTGGGAGCAGGACATGACCATAATGTGGGGTCCCCCAGCTATGATATGTGAGAAGGGGATGTCTAAAGCAGCTCCTGTTCCACAGTCCCACTGCACAGACACGAATCACTTCCTCCCCAAACAGGGGGGCTGCAGCCCTGAGCTGCTCCCCTTGGCCTCTGTCACCAACTCCCTCCCTGGGCCAGGCAGGAGCAGCAGACAAGGGACAGCCTGATTTCTCTTCATGGTCTGTCCCCAAACACCGGAAGGGATTAACAGAGGAAATCCCAGCTTTATCCATGCACGTGACTGGATATTCCTCTGGCAGTAAACACAAGTGGAAGAGGTGGACATACACTTACATTTGTGCAGCAGCAGCTTCTCCAGGGAGTCTCCCCACTTGAGTGCTTCCTCGGGAGTGGGCCTGCGGGAGAAGGACGGAGCGTTGGCAAAGCAAAGCAGCAAAAGCCACTTTCACTGCCTGCTAAACATTTCCAGTGGCTAAAGCCAGGCTGTGTGCCCAGCAGGGCTGGTCCTGGCTCCCAAATCGGCCTCCTGCTCAACATTTCCAGTGGACAAAGCCATGCTGTGTGCCCCGGTGGGGCTGGCCCCGGCTCTCACATTGGCACTGGCACTGCCGGGGCAGCTGCAGGCAGAGCTGGGCTCTGCACCAGGCAGCACAACAGCAGCTCTGCCAGAGGGAAACCTCTGCCTTTAGACTGGCAGGAAGAGAATCCGACACAAGGAGGTCTGTGCAGGCAGCTGTGCCACTTGGGGTGCCTGAGCAAGAATTGGAAAAGTTCCGGGTGATGTCCAGGAGCTGCAGGAAAGTGGGATTTCAGCTGCCCCTGAAGCAGCCGGAGAAGCTGTCAGGAGCAAGAGCAGGGAGGGCTCGTCTCCAGCTGCTGGAGCATCTCCAGAGCAAAGTGGTTTTTCAAACCATCCTCCAGCTGGTTAAAGTTCCATGTACAGGCACTGGGAGATTGCTGCCATCAGGTACATTTCCAACACAAGCTGCTGCTGTGCCACTGCCCAGGCAGCACCTCCCACCCACTTGGGGGAATTTTCAGCCAAAAAGTATTTTTAATGCTCCTCCAGATACAAAAACTGCTTGTCCACAGCTTCCCTAAATGGGGTGAAACCAGCCTGCCAGGAGCTGAGGAGGTCCTGATTGCAGCTTGTCCCCAAGCCC